CCTTTCATGTTGCTTTCCACAGTATATATGTTGGACCGTGATACCTCGCATTCTCGGTCCATGTCTCTCTCTCTTTCTCCTGCCTCCTGGGTTCCTCTGGCTTGAGCCTGCATATTTATTCTCTGCTAGTGGCTGTCATTGTTTTGATCCTTTCCCTGAACAGTTCAGCTGCCTTGCTATTTGGATGCATTTCCCTGGGATTAGCTCAGGGTCTCTCAACAATCTTGCCTGTAAGCTGGAATCGCATGTTCCATCAACGCATTTGTGGGGAATCTGTAATGACTCCAAAGTTACGTGTGGACTCCGGAGTTCTCAGCCCTGTAATGTGTCTCTTCCCTCTTTCTGCTGCTTTTGGCCACCTAATAAACTCTTCTTAAAGAACTCCCAATTTTCATTCCCATTTTTCTGCCTAACTTTTTCCCTCCTGATCAATTTTGTTTATAATTTTCCTTAGTTTTGCGAAACCAGCCCTGTTGAAGGACCAAGTGTGCAAAACCCCACAAATGCGCAGCTACCCGCTTTATAGCCGCAGGTGCATCTACCCCAGACCGTTTTTGCAGGTCACAGACTGGATGCAGATACAATTTTTGTATCGGCACAGGGCTCTACAGGTATCTGTATTACTGGTCAGGACTGTCCTCTGTTTGTCCATATTGAATGTGATCAGGGCATGATCACTGGTCCCGCACCACCGTCTTCCAGTCCAGTGATTAATTCATCTTTATATGACATAATGAGGTCCAAAATAGTTGCCTCGTATCAGGGCCAATACTTTTCGTGTTAGAAAACGATCCTCTATAACTTTTAGAATTTCTAATGATGTTTTCCTCCTGGCTGTCTGAGACCTCCAGCATATGTCTCCCATAAGAACACACTTTTTATTTCCACACATTGCAGGCTGAAGTTTAAGGAGTAACTCATCCTGTTCTCTGGTTTGATCCGGTGAGCTGTAACAGACCCGCACCAGCATCCCCGTCCAGTGCTTTGTTAGTGAGCACATGGATCCATACACACTCAAGATCCTGTGAGTCTGAGTTATCAATAACTCAAAAACAAGCAATTAATTAATGCCAAGTGCCAACTCCCCCACACTCCTGTTTTACCCACTCCATCCTTCCTGAACCAGAGATTTTAACATTCCAGTCATGCAAATTGTCCCGCCGCCGAGTTTCAGTGATGCCGTTATATCAAACGTCATCTCCTCCATGGGTGTTTCCAATTCCTCTTGTTGATTACCCACGCCTCTAGCATGAGCACATCAGCAACTGAAAAATATTCCCACGTTCTTCGTCATATCTGCTCCCTTTGCTCACGGAATTTGTCCCACTTTTGCCTCCTAAGCACCCTCCCCTCGTGTTGTTAGTCTAATGCCCTCCTGGCGCTGACTCTGTGGGTGCTCCGGGGCTGGAGCACCCATGGGGAAAAATGGTGGGTGCTGAGCACCCACTGGCAGCCCCCCCGATGAGCTTCCCCCCAACCCCGGCATCTCCCGCCCACCGGTGTGCAGGAGGCTCTGGGGAGGAGGGGGAAGGAGCAGGGGCAGGAAGAGGTGTGGCGGGGGTAGGGCCTTGGGGGAAGGGGTGGAATGGGAGCATAGCCGGGGGTCAAGCATCCCCTGGCAAACTGGAAAGTGGGCACCTCTGCCAGCTAGTCTCCAGCCATGGAGATTAGCCCCCTACCTGTGAGATGCAGGGCATCCCATTCAGAGAGCCACTTCTCCCCCTAAAGTGTGGCCCAGTGTTCCACAAAACATTCAGCTTCCTGCCGGTCGTGTAGCCAATGGGTCACCTCCAGTGTTTTCAGCCTTGTCCTGTCTCTCTTTGGAACCAGAAGGATCTCCAAGAAGATAACTTGGACTTTCTTCTTCTTCACCTCCTTTCCCACATCCCTGAAGAGTTCGTTATCTGCGTAGTTCCAAAAGAGCCCCAGTCCTTGGTTCCCATGGAGAGTTACCAGGTGACTTCATCATCCAAAGGCTCCGAGTGACCTGGCCAATTAATTAAAGGATTTAAAAGTCTGTGCTCTAGTGAGTCAGAGCAAGATCCTGAGAGTCAGGACTCCTGGGTTCTCTTCCTCACTCTGGAAGGGGAGTGGGTCTAGCGGGTTAGAGCAGGGAGCCAGGATTCCTGTGTTCTGGTCCCAGCCCTTGAAGGGGTCTAGTGCACAAGAGCAGGAAATGCTCAGAGTCAGGACTCCTGGCTTCTATTCCTGGCTCTTGGAGGGGAGGGGTCTTGTGCCTTAGAGCTGGGGCATTGGAAGTCCAGACTCTTAGGGTATGTCTACACTGCAATTGAAAACCCACGGCTGGCCCAGGTCAGCCAGCTCAGGGTAAGGGACTCGGACTTAGGGGCTGTTTAGCTGTGGTGAGATGTTCAGGATCAGGCTGGAGAAAAACCCTGGGATCCGGCGAGTGGGGAGGGACCCGGAGCTCGGGTTCCCGCCTAAGCCAGAACATCTGCACCGCGATTAAACTAGGGTTGCCAACTTTCTAACTGCACAAAACCAAACACCCCTGCCCTGCCCCCTGCCCTGTCCACTCCCGAGGCCCTGCCCTGCCCCGCCCCTTCTCCAGGGCTCCCCGCCCTGCTTGTTCCATCCCCCCACCCTCTGTCGCTCGCTCACCCCCACCCTCATTCACTTTCACTGAGCTGGGGTGTAGGAGGGGGATGAGGGCTCCGGCTGGGTGTGTGGGCTCTGGGGTGAGGCTGGGGATAAGGGCTTTGGGGTGCAGGAGAGGGCTCCAGGCTGGGGCAGTGGTTGGGGTGCGGGGGGAGGGGTATGGGCTCTGGGCTGGGGGTGCAGGCTTCAGGTGGAGCCAGAAATGAGGGGTTCAGGGTGCAGGAGAGGTCTCCAGGCTGGGGCAGGGAGTTAGGATGCAGGGGGTGAGGGCTCAGGCTGGGGGTGTGGGCTCTGGGGTGGGGCCAGGGATGAGGGGTTTGGGGTGCAGGAGAGGGCTCCAGGCTGGGGCAGTGGTTGGGGTGCGGGGGGAGGGGTATGGGCTCTGGGCTGGGGGTGCAGGCTTCAGGTGGAGCCAGGAATGAGGGGTTCAGGGTGCAGGAGAGGTCTCCAGGCTGGGGCAGGGAGTTAGGATGCAGGGGGTGAGGGCTCAGGCTGGGGGTGTGGGCTCTGCGGTGAGGCTGGGGATAAGGGCTTTGGGGTGCAGGAGAGGGCTCCAGGCTGGGGCAGTGGTTGGGGTGCGGGGGGGAGGGGTATGGGCTCTGGGCTGGGGGTGCAGGCTTCAGGTGGAGCCAGGAATGAGGGGTTCAGGGTGCAGGAGAGGTCTCCAGGCTGGGGCAGGGAGTTAGGATGCAGGGGGTGAGGGCTCAGGCTGGGGGTGTGGGCTCTGGGGTGGGGCCAGGGATGAGGGGTTTGGGATACAGGAGGGGGTTTGGGCATGAGGTTGGGGTGCGGGGTCCCGGCAGCGCTTACTGCGACTCCCAGGAAGCAGCTACCAGGTCCCTGCGGCCTCTGGGCGCATGGGCAGCCAGGGAAGCTCCGCGCGCTGTCCTCGCGCCCACAGGAGCCGCCCCCACAGCTGCCATTGGTCGCGGTTCCCAGCCAATGGGAGCTGCGGAGCCGGCACTCAGGATGGGGACAGCGCTTGGAGCCTCTCCGGCCGCCCATGCGCATAGAGACCACAGGGACCTGGCAGCTGCTTCTGAGAGCCGCATAGAGCCAGGGCAGGCAGGGAGCCTGCATTAGCCCTGGGCCCCCGCTGCGCTGCTGATGGGATTTCAGCGGTGCCGCCCGGAGCCGCCAGGGTCCTTTTCTGGTCAGAAACAGCCCCACGAGCCTGAGTCAGCTGTCCTGGGCCAGCCACGAGTGTCTAACTGCAGCATAGACACCCCCTTACTCTTAGCTCCGGTAGGGGGAATGCATTAGAGGGGTTATCTCGGAACCAGGTTTCCTGGGTTCCCCTCCCTACTCTCTTAAAGGCTCACTGTGTAACCACAGGCGGGTCTCTGTGCATCAGTAAAACAGGCAGGTAGCAAGCGCAGGGGAAGGGGCGATGCGGAGAATTGTTGCTTTATTTTATTTTCATGACCGTTTTGCAAAGCAAATGCTGAGATCACTGGAGGGCAGAACCCTGAGGGGTGCCTGTTATTGATACAACAAACCCCATTTTATTCAGCCCAACCAGTTGAAGCTGCGCGAGGCCAGAGACGCGGCCGGGTTAACCCGTATCCGCAAAAAGAACAGGAGGACTTGGGGCACCTTGGAGACTAACACATTTATTGGAGCATCAGCTTTCGTGAGCTAGCTGTGGCTCACGAAAGCTGATGCTCAAAATAAATTTGTTAGTTTCTAAGGTGCCCCAAGTCCTCCTGTTCTTTTGGAGGCCAGAGAAGCGTTTCTCTCGGAGAGAAAAAAGAGCTTGAAAAGCCAGATTGTAATGAATTGAGATTCAGACAGAAAGTGATGGTTTCAGTGGTAGGAGTTTGGGGTGGTGAAGCAGGGGACAGACTTGTTCTGTGTCTGTACAGCACGTAGCAAAACGGGATCCTCCTCCAGGACTGGGGTTTAACCTAGAACAACAGGACTTGCTTCTATACTTCAAGTGGGCTGGGGTGGTGTGTGGCACACTGGGGGGCTTGGGTTTGATCCCCATTGATAACTGAGGTAGCTGATTAATTATGAGTCTGGGTGATCTCTAGTGAAGCTCTTGAAGGAGGGAGTTAGTCGGGGCTGGGAAGTCCCCATGGAGGTCCCTTTTTCCTACCACACGTTGGAAAGCACAGACAGCCTGTGGCTGCCTCTAGCAGAAAGACATGCTCCCGCAGGGAGGCAAAGCCGGGAGGGGGTGGGGGGGGTGGGGAAGGGGGCGTGGCTTCTTGCAGGGTAGCCCCACCCAGTCAAGCGAGAGAAAAGTGTAAGGACTCAGAGGCCAGTTGAGTAATTGTGTGGTTTCCTCTACGGGGCTGTGGGCGTCACAGGCTCGGATACATAACCCAGGCCACAGAGGGGATGATCAGTCCTCTTCTTGCTAGGGACGGCGTCAAGTCGGCTTCTGGCTCTGCCGTCAAGTCCATAAGCATCTCCCGAGCTCTGCTGTGGACCTTCCCCCGCTCCGCCGAGAGCGATCATGGGCGATGGGGTGGTGTATCCTTCTGTCTTCGTGGTGGACGGCCAGCAGCACGGGGTCCCCTTTGTCCCGCCCATAAGGAGGAAGCGGCGGGTCTGCTGGCACAGCCAGGGCTTCCTGGCCTCTCTGGTCATCCTAGCCCTGGCCGGGGTGGCCACGGAAGGCTATTTCCTGATCCGCTTCCAGAAAGAGCTGGAGAAGACAACGTCCCAGGTTGGGGTGAGTGACCGAGAAAGGGGAGCGGGAGACGAGAGTCTAGCATCACGCATGGGCAGTGATGGGGCGGGGGGGGAATGCACGAGGGGATGGGGCAGTGTGCATTGGCAGGGGGCTCTGCGTGTGTATGTGTGTACACAGTAACAGGGAAATGAGCTGGTGTGGACTTGGAGGTGGGGGTGTAGTGACACAGTGTCTGGGCAGTGCTGTGTGCTGGGATCGGGCTGTGTGTGTGTGTTGCAATGTGAAAATGAGCTGACTGTGCAAGTGTGTTGGGAAGGATCTGTGTGTGTGTACGCATGTGTGCACTAATTTGCAAAGGCACTGGTGTGAGCGTGTGTGTGTGTTAGGATAAAGCTAGGCATTTGCTGGGACAGGGATCTGGGTGTGTGTTTGTGTACTCGGGTGGAGTCTGGGCAGCATCTGTGTGTTAAAATGGGGCCGTGTGTAAGAGCGTTTGGATTGAACTGTGTGTGCAGCAGAATGGGACAGTGTATATGAGGATGGAGTTGTGTGTTTGCTGGGACAGGGCTGTGCGCGCTGTGTTGGGACTGTGATTTTGAATGGACTCATGTCTGCTAGTAGGGACAGCGCAGGTTTGTGTTAGCAGAGAGTCATGCATGTGTTGACATCGGTTTGTGTGTCTGTGTGCTGTGATGGGGCTGTGTGCAGTAGTATGGGACAGTATGTTTGTGTTAACCTGGCGTGTGTGTTGAATCAGGACTGGCATGTGCACACCTGCTTGTGTAGAACATTCTGTGTTTGTGTGTGTGCTGTGAATGGGCAGTGTGGCTTTGCTAGGGTGAGTCCGGGTGTGTCTGTGTGCTTCGACAGGGCACTGTGTGGATCTGAGTCTGTGTGTGTGTGAGTGGGTGGATTTGTGTGTATAAATGGGGTTGGAGCTCTGTGTGTGTGTGTGTGAAGTTGGGGTGGCACTCATGTATTACTCTGTGTGTGGATTTGTGTGTGTGTATGGATTTGTGTGTATAAATAGGGTTGGAGCTGTGTGTGTGTAGACTCATAGACTATCAGAGTTGGAAGGGACCTCAGGAGATCATCTAGTCCAACCCCCTGCTCAAAGCAGGATCAATCCCCAATTTGTGCTTGTGGGTGCCCAGGCCAGCTGGTTGCAAACATTCCTTTGGAATCTCAAACTGCTCAGGCCCAGGTCCTGCTGCTGCCCCTCCTGGCGGGGTCTGTACAGCGGGAAAATCCAGGGGCTGTGTCCAAGCCCCCTCCTTCCTCCCACCCCAACAACCAACCCCCTCCACCAACGAGCCCCAAGACCCCCTGCAGAAATCTGCATTGGCCATGGGGATCACAGGGGCAGGCAGGGGAGCAGCTCCGGAAGGGGCTGTTCCTTTGGGAGTCTGAATCGCCTGTGCCCTGGTGGGTTTGCTTTTACCTCCCCTACTAGCCTGGGCTACCAGGGGAGCGGAGCCCAGCATGAGCTGGCCTGGCTCGAGCTGCCCTCACAAACAGTGTTAGAACTTGGGTCAGCTACAGGTGCTTGTAAACTGCATCCAAACACGTGTTTCAAGCTGGGTTCAAGTTCAAGCACAGAGCCAGGACTCCTGGTTCTGGGACTGGAGTGGGTTCGAGCGAGGGGGTTGGGGTGAGTAATAGGACTCCTGGGTTCTATCCCCAACTCTGGGCCAAACTTTCAAAAGTGACTTCAAAATTTTCAGGTGCCCAGCAGCCTTTAAGGCCAGCAGGGATCATTAGATGATCTAGTCGGACCTCCTACAGATCACAGGCCATTAAATTTCAGCCCGATATCCCTCTATTAACCCCAAAGATTTTAGGTATGCTGCAGCATTTCAGTCCTCAATTTCATATATGCCAAGGCTCAGACCCTCAAAGGCACTGGAGTTTGGTGTCTAAATATCTTTGAAGGTCTAGGCCCCAGCCCCTGTAACTCTAGGTGAGCCCCAGGTTCTCAGCACCCCACAGAATCAGGCTCGAGACTTCTCCAGCTGGGCAGCCAACATTATTGGCAGAATCACGAAAGTGTGTCTGCACACCCCACGTAGCCATGTGTCTGATCCTGCCCGGTGCTGAGCCAATCACAGATCCAGTGGGAGGAAGGCAGGTTGAGCTGGTTGGAAAATGGGGGTGGGTCCACTGAAAATGTCAACCGTTTATTTGAAAAAACGAACCCTGGAAATTTTTCAGCCAAAAGCCCAAAACTATTTGGCCAAAAGTGTTCAGGGTTTGGGAGTTGGGGTTTTTGTGTGTGTGTGTGTCTCCTTTCTAACAGGCTTGTATTTTGTATCCTAGGAGGAAGCAGGGGCCATCTCCGAGAAGTCCATTCAAGGTAAATCTCTTCCCCCTTTTGCGAACCCTCAGCTGCCAGCCTGCCGAAACACAGACCAGATTTTAAGAGCGTGGCTCTCCCAACGAGGGACAGATTTTTTCCAGAAGCGCTCCACTAAATCACACATGTCTACACTGCGATTAAACACCTGCAGGGGGCCTGTGTCAGCTGACCCCGGCCCACGGGGCTAGGGCTGCAGAGCTGTTTCATTGTGGTGTAGACGTTTGGGCTCGGGCTGGACCCTGGGCTCTGGGACGTTCCCCTCTTGCCAGGTCTCAGAGTCCGGGCTCCAGTCTGAGCCCAGATGTCTCCATGGCTATTTTTAGCCCTGTAGCACAAGCCCCGTGAATTGGCCCAGGCTCTGAGACACGCTGCTGTGGAAACACACCAAAGGGACCTAAGTCAAGGCCAGATATTCAGAGGCACCCGGGGTGCTGCACGCTGGAAAAGTCATTTGTCGGTGCCTAAATGGGAACTGAGCTCTTGTAAATCAGAGCAGCCCCACTGAGTTCGCACCAGCTGAGGGGTTTGGCCGGGAGAATGAACCAACCTAACGCCGCTGCGATCTCCCAGTGCCTGACTGTGATCTCCCTTACACCGCTGGGACTTCACCAGCGGCAGAGCGAGGAGAGGAGAATTCCTGCCTCGCGGTTGGACCCGCTGAAATAAAAACATTCACCCATTTATTCCCAAGCAGACGTGGTGGGCCAGATCCTCAGCTGGTGTAAATCAGTATGGCCCCTGTTGACTCCGGTGGAGCAATGCTCATTTCCACCATCCAGGGATCTGGTCCAATTGACTTCAATGGAACGACATCTGTTTACCCCAATTGGGAATCTGGCCCTATTGGTTCCAATGGAGCTTTGCTGATTTACACCAGCTTGGGATCTGGCCCTGTTTACACCAGTCGGGGATCTGGCTCTAAATTCATTGGTTCATTGATTTGCAATGAACAGTCCCACCGACCCTACCCAGAAGTGAGTTTCCACAAAGCCTAGTGTGACTCCGACACGGGGTGGGTCTAATCTCTGTTAACGAAGCCCCCTTGTCTCCACACCCCACCCCATTTCCTCTGGTTAACATCTCTGCATCAGACCTTCCACGCTAGGGACAGAGATGAGTGCGAGCACAAAGAATTGCAAAGGGTTATTTGTAATGGGTTGGTCAACCAAGGTTTATTCATAGCCTCAGAGACTCTCAGGTTGGGGCCCGTCCGTGGTTTATATATACAGCCCTTGTTGGCAGCAGGGGGAGGAAAGGAAACTTCTCCTGCGGTGTGACTCTGATGTAATGGATCGGAGCGAGCACTGGGCTACAGTTCTCCATCCCTGGGAGCTTTTTATTCCAGATGGGCTGTTTTTCTAACACACCTGCTCTAGTTCCAACGGGAACTAATCCAGGGAAATCTTATGGCCTGTATTATGCCGGAGGTCAGACTAGATAATCCAAACGGTCCCTTCTGGCCTCTGAATCGATGATGCTGGAGTGAGGATCCGGGGTACCATTCTGCTCTGGGAGCATTTTGCGATGGTGTTAATGGCTGCAGGTATTTGGAGGCTGTGCAGCCTAGCGGACAGAGCCTTCAACTGGGAGACCTGGGTTCTATCCCCACCTATGCCACCGGCCTGCTGGGTGATCTTGGGCAAGTCACTACCCCTCTTTGTGCCTCAGTTTCCCCTTCTCTATAATGGGAACAATGATACTGAGCTCCTTTGTAAAGGGCTGTGCCGTCCACTGATGAAAAGTGGTATATAAGTGAGTTAGGGATGATGATGATATTGACTTTGCAGTGGCACTGTCTTTAATCTGTTGTTGTGTTGATTATGTTGGTCAAGAGCACAGTAACAAGGTGGTTAGTGCGTATGAGCACCGCTGCCCCCTGCTGGATGGTACCAGAACTGCTCATCTCTGTTTCATAGTCCCGACACTGTGAACAGAGATTCTCCTTCAGCTCTTTTTGGAACAGAAATTATGGGTCCTGTCCCTGCTGTTGCTGTCAGGTTCTGAGCATCTCTGTTGTGCAGCAAAGCAAGACCCAGGACAGGATGAGGTGGATTTGATTTGGGATAATGGGTGGGGGCTGGGGATATTGCTAAGCAAGGGTGGTGGATTTTTATTACAGTAGCGCATACAGTAGTCATGGCCCAGGATCCCAAGTGCTAGGCGCTGTACAATTTAAACACAGAACAAAAAGACAGTTCCTGCCCCAGTGAGCTAACTGCTTTTAGTGGACCAGATCCTCAGCTGGTGCAAATTAGCAGCACTTCACTGAAGTCAAAGGCGTTCCCTTGCTTTGCACCATCTGAGGTTCTGGCCTAGGAAGTTGAATAGTGGCCGGGGGAAAGGTTTGGATGGCTCCGCAGACAATGGCATAAATATTGTACCGGTTTGCCCAGCTTCGCAGCCGTGCTCCACAAAAGAACCACATGGGACGTGCAGGCCCAGGCCCTCCTCCTGCAAAAACGCTTCCCCCTCACAGAAAATCTCCTTTGAGCTGCTAGGGGGATGGGGGCTCTGACACATGGCTAAGCAGTTCCAAATCCATCCAGCAGAGGACAGTGGGGCCCAGAGGTGCTAGGCGGTTCACTGCGATACAACGCGACGCAGCATGTTTGCCTAGCGCATCCGCCCCCGCAACTGCTTTCCGGGGGGGAGGCTTTTCTGAGCTAGGTGCAGTGAAGCGGGCGGGGGGGGCCCGCGGTGTGTGTGGAAACGAGACAGAAAGGAAACAGAGAGAGAAATTAAATAGCAGTCCCGATGAAAGTGCAGGCTAGACCCAGCGCGGGGGAGAGTGGAAGGAAGTGGTGATGGGGGGGGGGGTGCAAGGGCGGGTGAATGGAACGGGGGTGTCATGGAGTGAGTGGGGGGGGACGTGATGAGGTTGCAATGGAACAAGGCAGATGGGGGGGAAGATGAATGTGACATTACTAGGGGGTTTGGGGGGGACGCAGGGTACCATTGCTTTACATTGGAGGGTGAGCCCCAGTTCTGATCTGGGGTGCTGCTCTGCCTGGCTCCATTTGCAAAGTTCCGACCCGGAGCTGGGTTCCGATCCAGGCCCATCTCCAGAACTCAGCCCCGGGCAGCTCTTCCCCAGCCCACACTGGCCCTGGGAACAGAGGACTCGGAGCTGGGCTGATCTCACAGCTGGGCCTTTGTTTGTTTGTTTGTTTCATTTGCAGACAGGAAACTTCACGCTGAGAAGCCAGCAGCTCATGTCTTAGGTAGGTTGAAGTCCTGCATAGTCTGCTGCCTCTGTTGTGAGGGGCGTCTAGTCTAGTGATTCGAGCAGGGGGCGATGGAGTTAGGGGTCCTGGGTTCTATTCCCAGCTCTGGAAAGGATGTGGGGTCCAGTGATTAGAGAAGGGGGGATGGGGCCAGGACTCCTGGGTTCTGTTCCTAGTTGTGGGAGGGGAGTCAGGTCCGGTGATTAGAACAGTGGGGGATGGGGCCGGGACGTGGGGTCCAGTGATTAGAGCAGGGGTGGGGGATGGGGCCAGGACTCCAGGGTTCTCTTCCCAGAACAGGGGAGATGGGGGCCAGGACTTCTGGGTTCTCTCCCTAGCTCTAAGAGGGATGTGGGATCCAGTGATTAGAGTTGGGGGGGATGGGGCCAGGACACCAGGATTCTGTTCCTAGCTCTGGTAGGGACGTGGGGTCCAGTGATCAGAACAGGGGAGATGGGGGCCAGGACTTTTGGGTTCTCTCCCTAGCTCTAGGAGGGATGTGGGGTCCAGTGATTAGAGCAGGGGGGGATGGGGCCAGGACTCCGGGGTTCTCTTCCCAGTTATGCCTCCTTCTGGGCTGAGACCCAGGGAGGGAGCTGAGGCCTGACATGTTGTGGGCATTGTGTTCCCCAGGTGCGGCCTTCACCACCTCTGGGAACGGCTCTCTGCAGTGGGAACACAGTAAGGACTGGGCTTTCCTGCATGATGTGGGTTACCAGGGCGGCTCCCTGGTCTGCATCAAGCCTGGCTTCTATTACATCTACTCCAAGATCCATCTCATGGCACAGAGTTGCTCTCAGCAGGGCCAGAATTCTGTCATCTATCATGGCATCTATAAGAAGACCCCCAGGTATGTCGAGGAGATGAAACTTATGGAGAACCTGATCCTTTACTGCGATGGGAAGGACAGCGAGTTCTGGCGGCAAAACAGCTTCCTTGGAGGAATCTTCCACCTGGAAGAGGAGGAGCAGATTTACGTCAAGGTGTCGCAGAGACAGGTGCTACAGATCAGAGATGGCACCAGGTCTTATTTTGGCACCTTCATGATCTGAGCAGGCCCTTCCCGGAGCCACAACTGATGGCTTTTGGATTGAGGCCTTGTGCTTTTTAATCCGCCACTGATGTGGTTTTCCTACGTCACTCTGACCCAGCACCCCCTAAAATATTGTTGCACCTTGCCAGTCTAATATGCTCCCCAGGCTGGATCCAGCTCATCATGTTAACTTCCGAGGCTGGTCACAGAGCTCGGAAGAGGAAGGGTGGGCTTCCAGTTGAGGCGTTGTACTAGGGATCAGGACACTGGGAGCCAAGTCCTCGCTCTGCTACTGACTTGCTGTGCGACCTCAGTCCAGACACTTTTTCTCTGTATGGCTTGCTTTCCCCGTCTGAGCATAAACATGCCACCTCACGAGGGTATCCCGAAGCTTAAGCTGCATGGAGTGCTTTGGACAGAAGATACTCTGATAGGCAGTGGTTAGGTCCGCGGGAGGTCACTGAACTGGGAGTCAGGACTCCTGGGTTCTATCCCCAGCTATGCTACCCACCTGTTGTGAAACCACGAGCAAGTCATCTTGCCTCTCTGTGCCTCCATTTCCCTAGCTGCAAAACAGGGACGATGGTTCTCCCTTTCCCTTGTGTTATAGGTCATACTGCTGTCCCCCGACTAGCTGGCCACTGTCCCTCTGTCAGGTCCGGCGGGTTTTCAAATAGCTTTGAAAGCCGAGATGAGCTTTGAAAGTGGAGAGGCAAAGAAACTGGGTACCACAAGGGACATTTCGCCTCAAGGTCGCCAAGGCCGGCCGACCCTCAGCTGCTGTATGTCAGTATAACTTCAATCTTTATAACTTTAATCTATAACTTCAAACTCAACTTCAATCATTCCATGCTTGTTTACGCCAGCTGCCAGGGTGTTGGTGGGAGGAAAGTGTATTTAATTGGCTTGCAGTTCTGCTTAGCAACTGATGGTGCTTGATGGGGTCAAATCCTGCAGTTCCCTTTGCTCATGGGGAAGGCCCTGATCCTGATCCGGGCACGTCCCTTTGAGGGTCTGGCCCGAGGAGTCTTCCCCAAGAAGAGCTGCAGAGAGCCATCCTGTCAGCTGGTGCAAATCGGCGTCGCTGCCATGGAGCAATGCCAGCTTACACCTGCTGAGGATTGGGCCCTTACTATTTAGCCCTGTGTCTCCGACCTTGGCAAGAACGGGCCTGGTTCTCCTCTCACTCGCTGCGGTGTTAATCCGGAGGAACTTTGCAGAAGCGATACTGATGTAAGACTCACCCAAGGGGAGAATCCTGCGGGAACGGGCCCAGAACTCCGGCCGGGAGACCTGAGCGTCGATCCACTGGAGTCCGTGAGGCGAAGCTGATTTCCGGCCACTGGGGCTGTGACCCGGCTCCCCCCATTCCCTGCTCTGCGCTACGTGCCGTGAACGTGCCGTGTGTGCGCCTATTTATTTTACAATGAGTATTCCCTGATATTCAGGGAGCAGCTGTATCTAATGGTTATTTATCCATTACCCCAGGGCCACTGGGTATGTTTGGGGGGGGGGCAGAATTTTGATTTTTATTTTGTTTATAATTTGATGGATGATATTGGTGTTTGTTTTAGGCATTTGTAAAAAAAAATATATTGATTTAAATGTTCACAGTTGTGCAAAATTACAGGTAGCTTTTCCCCTCCTGTTCTTATTGGTTTCAATTTTCATAGTTGGGGGACATGGGGTGCGGGGGGAGGAGGTAATTATTTGACAAAAGTAGGGGCTGAGATTTCAGCTTCAATAAAGCTTTATAACTGTTCAGCCACAAATGGTCAAACATCCTGGGTCAAAATATACAAAGTAAATGGCCTGAAATCAAACCCCAAAAAGTTCGGCATTTTTTCTCACTTTGCCCATCTGTACATTTCTGTGATGAGCAATGGAAATATTTGTTGTCATTAGTTTGTGGGCATGTACGGTGAAATTGATGTTTACTGACGCAGATAAAAATCGAATCCTTCCAAGCCTTGGATGATGCCTCCCTAGGGGAGACGGGAGGCTGAGGGGCCTGTCTCCCACCGGACCGGCCACACACCCCCTTACCCTTAAAGAGCAGGCCCTCCTGCTACAGACCCCTCTGCCCTTCTTTCTGCTCCCGCGAGGGCAATGTTTGCATGGATCACAAAGTTGCATCGTTCCCTACCTGAGTCCAGAGCACTCTGGGGGCTGCACCGGCGCTGAGAGGTGCAGGGCGGCGAGATGCCGGGAGGAGAGTCCGAGATGAGCGCAGGGATTCTGGACTAAGAGGCTGCAATGCCTGGGTCCGGGAGGAAGCGCAGTCTTACTATGATAGTGCCTGGGAGTTGGGATTCCTGGGTTCTAGAGAGCAGAGGGTCCTGGGTTCTATTCTCAACTTGAATAAGGGCTCTTGGGTTCTACTCCCCACTGTGGGAGAGGAGGGGGGTCCACGACCACAGGAGCTGGGGGGGGTCAGGATTCTGAGATTCTGTTCCTAGTTCTGCCACTGGTTTTACACATAATCTACCTCCCTGGGCCCGATCCGGTTTCCACTGAAGTGACTGGCAAATCTGCCATTAAGTTCAGTGGGAGCAGGATTGGCAGGGGGGCAAGCTGTGGGGTTAATCGGTGTCTGTAAAGCCCCTGGAGACCCCCAAAGGGACAGAGCAAAGACTGGCCACTGCTGAGCTTCAAAATAGAATGAGTTCTCTCCTCTGCCCTGTGCGATGCGACTGCTCTGAAGGAAAAGTCCCTGCATGAGCCCTAGGGCCAGACTCCCGGCTGGTGCGAATCGGCCCTTGCTCCATTGGAGTGAATAGGGCCAGATCCCCCTTGCTGGTGTAAATCAGGGTAGCACCACTGAGGTCATCTGAGGATTTCCAAGAGGTTCTGCCATTTTTTTACCCCACCGCCAGCAGCCCGGTGCCTCATTCTCACTCCCACCGGAGCAAGGGTGGCATAATGCCCCTGGAATGACACTGGTGTCGATGGGAGCAGAATCAGGCCTTGCATCTGCTCTGGAGAGGTAGCGCTCTCATCCCCTGGTGTAAATACGAGTAACTCCGTTAGAAAACCGTGGGGTTAGATTGTCTGATCTGACTCAGGCCCAGTGCACCTCCAGCCACTTCCAAGAGTTTCCAGCATCCCAGCTGGAGTAAATCAACATAGCTCCGTTGACTGGGCCCATTTACACTAGCCTGGGATCTGACCCCTGGATCCCAAAGCGCCCTGGGACTAACCTGACCTTTTATTCAACTCAAGGTTTCAGTTTTATTTGATGCATCAGCTTCTGCTCTCGGTGACACCGGTGTGCATCTGGAATGACTCCACTGAAGTCCATTTATAACTGACAGATGCCAGCATAACAGATTTACACCTGGTGTTAGTGGGAGAGCAGAATTTGGCCCTCAGTCTGGAGGGTTTGTTCACCCAGCTCTGAAATGTGGCCCTCTCTGGGGTGGGCCACACGGCAGGTATTCCACCGCACAAAGTAATGCTCCATGGCAGTTTCGGTTAGGAAACAAGAATCCAAATGACAGGGGACCTTTTAAAGAGGCAGAATGGAAAGACGTGGGGTGGCATTTGGCCAGCGTGCACCCCGGCGAAATGCACCGTAGGAATGTTTAATGACCACAAGCGGTCAGGAGCTGGGTTTTACACCTCCTCCGAACTGTAGCGTCTCTTGCTACCACACTGGGGCCCCGGGTTCTGCAGTGACTCAGTGGAAATCACCCACCCCGGCTTTCTGTGCTCTCTGTAGTGGTCTCCCAACCAAGCATGTACAAGGTGGAAGCCGGCTGAGTTAAGGAGAGCCTAGCACTGAGGCTCACGTCCCGGGGGACCAGTCCTCTGCCTCCGCCATGGCAGCAAACTGACCTGGTCTGGGCCTGCACCCCGCTCTCAGAGAGTGCGCTAACGGGGCAATCAAACGAGCTAGCGCAGGGCAGGGCCAGGGCAGGGTCTGCACCGCTACAGACTCAGAGCAAAAGGCTCTTATGGCTTAGGTAAAGGCTGTGAGACGGGCCTCCCAGGTTCTAGCCCCATCTCTGGAGGAGGAGTGGGGTCTAGTGGTTAGAGGAAGGGGGCGAGGAGTTAGGATTCTTGAGGTGTGTTCCTAGGGATAGACAGCATAAGTCGCTGTGTGTCAGGACTCCTGGGTTCTCATTCTGGCTCGGGGTGGAAGTGTGAGCAGGGAGGGAACTGGGAACTCTCCTTCAGCAGGGAAGCAACATGGCCTAGTGGGTAGGACTGGGTCTCAGGAGACCTGGATTCTATTCCCAGCTGCACTGCTGGACAAACTTGGGCAGGTTGCGTCACCGCTCTGCGCCTCAGCTTCCTCACCTGTAAAATGGGGATAATGACACTATGTTTTGAGAGCTGCTGATGAAGTGACTAGCTCCAGTGCAGGAGGCTTTAGGGAACTGCGGATGATGGCTAGAGTCCCCACTCCAGACCTGAGGGCAGAGTGGGTGAGAAGGCACTTCCTGCCCGGTCCACGGTTTTCCGAGATCCAGAGGTGTCAGAGATGAGAAGCCCGTTATGCACCGGGCCCCTGCCTGGGATGGAAATGCCCGGCGTCAGCTCTCTCACACACGCATGCTTATCTGGCCCCTCTAGGTCACACCACATGAGAACAGGAGGATTTCCTGACTGCTGCAAGCCGTGGCTAGATACGGCTCGGCTGGGGAGGGCAGCTCTGCATCAGCTCCTGCAGCCAGAGCTCAGGGGCTGTGGCTCAATGGCACTGAGAAGTGGGGCATATGGACACAGCAGGGGGAGCGCCCAGCTCAGGGGGAGAATGGCACGAAGCCAAGTCATGGTGCCCCAAACGCCCACGTCTGACTGCAACAGCCCATCACGGTCGGCTGGCCCATTGCCTGGGGTACCAGGGCAGCTGGTCCTTTGAGGGACAGGAGGTCTGGAGCTAGGGAGCCCGCCTTGTGAGGCAATTAAGAGGGCTGCAGCTAGGTGACAACCTGAAAGACCTGGCCCTCGTAAAAGGGCGGGGAAAACTCCAAGGGGGAAAGCACCACCCAGCGAGGTGTAGCGTGCTGCGCTTCTGTGGAAGGACTCCAGGGAAAGAGGCTCAGATACTGGACGCTAACCCTCTGGCATCCTGAAGAGGAGCCCACGTGGGGGTGAAAGGACTTGGGGGTTGTTTGGCTTTTAGTTATCCTGAACTCTGGGAGTGCCCCCGCTCCCCGAGCCACATGAATCTCCGGGAGAGACAAAACCTGGGGGAGGGGAAACTGAGGCAGGGATGCACTGCCGTGCTGTGCTTGGCCAACAGAGGATGCTAGAGGGCAGTCACGCCCTATGACAGTCAGCATTAGGAGGGAAGTCTGGTCAAGTGGTTACAGGGCTTATGAGTCAGGACACATTGATTCCGATACTGGGTCTAGTGGTTACAGCAGGTGCTCTGGGAGCCAGGACTCCTGGGTTCTGTGCCCAGCTCTGGAAGGGCAGTGGGGTCTAGTGGCCAGAGCCAGGACTCCTGGGCTCTATACCCAGCCACTAACTCACTGTGTGACCTAGTACAAGTTACTTCCTCTGGCTGTGCCTCAGTATCGCCATTTGTAGCCCAAGGAAACTAGTACTGCCCTACAGCGTGGAGATGAAATAACCTAGAGAAGTACAAATGAGCGTAACAAAACCGCCCGCAGCCCACTTAGGACTTTGCCTGGACAGTTGCCCGCTGCTAGCTTAAAGAGCACAGGAGAATCTCCCTTTGCTGGCAGGTGTTTGGAGTCTGACACCCAACTTTGCAGTTTTGTTTGCATCCAGGAGAGGGCGATGGAGTCACACATGCCCGCTTGCACACCTATCACTCAGTTCATGACAGTACTGCAGAGAGCAGAGGGCTCACACACAGACACACACACACATTACAGTATTGTTAGTAAAAGAGGACTTGCCAGAGTGGGTCAGATTCGAGCATGATCTGGTCCGTTTCCACACACTTTTTATTTAAAAAAAAAAAATCATTTTGAAATTTTGAAATGGAAATTAATTTCCAGCCGAAAAATTTCATGCTGTAAATGTCAAACCGGAATGTTTGGGGGGTTTTAGGACTGTCTTTGTTTGGTTTTGTTGCAGCCAAAACATTTTAGCAAAACCGACTCAACCTCATGAAATAGCTCGGCGTCTCCAATCTGCATTTTTCACCCGCAGCAGTTTCAGCTGAAAACTTTCACTCAGCTGTCGGGCCGAGTCCAGTCCCCCACGAGCCTCGTGAAGCTGATGGCACCGTCAGTGGAGCACACCGCCTCGCTGCATTGGGAGGCTGAGTCCCAGGGCCTGCGTCCTATTCCCAGTTCTGCCAGTGACCTTGGGTAAACCTCCGTGCCTCAGTTTCCCCAGCTGAAAACCAGGCACATGATTGCATTCTCTAGTTTGACCACAGCTTAATCAGAGAGCTTAAGGCCAGAAGAGACTCTCAGATCGCCAAATCGGAGACAGGCCTGAGAATTTCACCTCCTTGCCCTGGTTTTGAGCCCAATAGCTTGTGTTTGACTAAAGCATCTCCCAGCGAGGCCTCCAGTCTGGATTGAGAGCCACCGGGAGGTGTCCTGCTCCCCTTGGGCTCTTGTTTCAATGGTTATTGGGACCAATGATGTCACCTAGGTAGAAAATGGAGACGAATTCTCTGACCTATGTCATACAGAAGGTCAGAA